ACCCGGCGCGGCAGCCAGGCGTTAGGAGGAAAACGGATTCTCAGGGACCGGGTCAGCATCAGAGAGGGCGGGGGTCCGGGAGGCTGCCCACAGCCCTGCGTCAAGCGCCGCCCTCCCCAGCTGGCCCTGGCCTCTCCGCTGTAAAATGACAGGAAAAAGAATTTCCGAGTGGAATTTCCCTACGGGGTATGGAGAAAGTAAGAACGATTTGAATTGTCTATTGAGAAGAGGCAGCCAGGATTCAGGAAGAGAGCAGCAGAGCAGCAGTTAAAGGGGCGCTGCCTGAAATCTGGGGTCCAGAGGGAAGTATTTTGGTGGTGGTGGCGGTGGTAGGGTGTGATATCTATTCCAGTGTGCTGTTTAGGGGTCCGCAGGAGGAGAGCTTGGCCGCCCCGGTTCTAGTTCCAGGAGTGTCCTGCAAGCGCACAGCGTCCACTCGTGCTTACATCCAGAGCACGCAGTTAAAAAAAAAAAAGAACAATAAAGACCCAAAACTGACGGGTTCGGCGATATCAATGTGATAGGCGTATGAGGTGGGGATGCCTGTGCGGGTGACACATTTGGGAGGTGGCCCTTGTCCCCCTTGTCAGCACAGAATGAATCTGTATTGTCAGAGTGACCAGAGCCCACCCGCTTCTACCTGCCTTTTCCTGCGCGGATGGAGAGTATTGGAACACAGGCCACGACAGAGGGAAAGTGTTAAATCCACCTTGGACTGTTCCCTATTAGGGAAATCACAACAGAAGAGAAACAACTGAAGTCTGGTAGTCTTCTAAAGCCTTTGAATGTCCAGGTTTCCTGAATCTCAGTAATAACCTGGTGTTTTGCACGAAGAGAAGGCCTGCGGTGTCGGTTCTTTGCATGGCCAGCTGCCAGGGCCCGGGCGCCACTCCGGTACACTGAGCTGCACACACGGGGATGGTATGGAGGAGCTTCATTAGGATTAGGTGGACTAAGCTGCTAATAGTTTCAATTTTCTGCATAAATTATAGCCACCATTTAAAACTCATTTGAGGGACTTGGAGAAGAAAAGACTTTTTTCTAGACAAGTGGACCTCGGGACACAGCTAGCATATTCTTATGCTGATGACTGCCATAGAATTTATGGTTTATCACTCAAAGGCTTCCTTCCAAATGCAGCTCCTTGGTACTTGGAACAGATTTTAACAGGTTCAGTGATTTCCCTTGTTCTCAGCTCCACAATCACATCTGTCTCTGGTGCAGTCCTTCTCTTCCTCTGTAATGCATCAGTATCCACAGACTTCCCTAGGCCTTGGCAAGTTATGTCCAGATATTTTTGAAAAGATTGTTGATACACTTGGTCCTTCTGGTGTTGTCTTCTTCTCGGTTCACATTTAGGCTGGGGTGATTTCTGGGGTTGTGGGGCACCACTTCCCTCCTGTTGAGGACTGAAGGCTAAGGCTACCTGATTATGATAGTTTGTGGGTGTCTCTCACCTCCGCACAGCCTTCGGGACAGGTTTTAGCAGGGGACAGCCTCGAGGGAAAGCCTTGGGGGAAAAAAGAGACATTGCAAAAGAGGAGCTTAGTTACCTTCGACTCTGACCTGCAACCTTTCATTTGCTCTTTCTTTAAGAAACCTTATATAATGTATTCGGTGTCATAATTTATTCACAGCTTCCCTGATCATGTCACCGGCCTGGCTTGCAGGCCTCCCTGTGCATCTGGGCTACCGGTGGGGAGACAGCAGCCTGCCACAGGAACATTCAGCCCCTCGCATCCCCAGCTGTGGGCCCAAGGGGGACAGTCTGCTCATGCCAACTGCCCAGAGGCTGCCAGCTCTCTACACACAAACTCTCAGATTGCTCTGCAAGTGGTCTAACCTTTCTTCTAACCAGCTCCTTTTAGTACTAGGCTACCTCAACTTGCCTGATTCAGTTTCCCCATCTGCAGTCGTATTAATGACACCAGTACCCAGCTCAGCACCGCTCTGATGACATTTCAGTGATTTTAGTTGGCCTAAGCCAACACTTGACACGTTATAAACATGCAGACTTAGCTAGGACCTCTGAGTCCTAACACCCAGCTGATAGCCCTCATCCTGTTCCACTGAAATTCCCCCAGGATCTACATGGGCCTGTGTGTACCTCAGCTCTCAAAGCAGGGTTCCACGATCAACCACGGTGATTAAACCACTCCTATCCACAGGGCAGAGGCCCAGAGCCATAGGGCGAAAACACTTTCTCCATTGGTAATTTGCTCATTTTGCATTTAACCTGGGTCCTTTGATTTCAGTTTTCCGGACCATCTCAGATTTCAGGTTCCTGTCACACTTCCTTGAAAATAGAAATTTGCAAAATCACAAGCAAGAGAATATTCTCCAGACCAGAGGTCTGAGGACTCCCAAGAAAGCACTGCCCAGGCTTTACGGCATTTATTTACAGAAGCAGAAGTCACCATCCCAGGTGGGATCAGGACACAGAATCTCCCATGCTTCCCTTTTGGCCTCCTCCCTCTTCATGTCCCTGTGAGTAAATAATACAAATGATAAAAAGAGTGATAAAAGAAAACAATACACTAAGCACACAACTAGAGTCACCAGCATTAATAAACTAGTGTTTTACCAGGCCATATATCTACCAAAAGACTGTCTGATGTTTATCTGAAATGGAAGCTTAGCTGGCATCCTGCATTTTATGTGTAAGCCAACTATGATGGACCCTTAGTAGCTTCACAATTTTGTCATGGTGCACTTGAAGGCCAAAGAGCCCGAGAAAACAGAAAACAGGAAATACAACAGTGGACTGAGCCTCTGCTATGATCTAGATCTAAAACGTCCCCCCAGAGTTTCATGTATTGGAAGATGATTGGGCCATGGGACGCTTACTCAGGAGTGGATTTATCCTTTCGTGAGTTCAGAAATTCATCCTCTTCTCTCTCTGTCTACTTCCTGGCTGCCATGGCTGAGCAGCCTCCCTCTGCCCTGCCTGTCCACCATGCCCATTTCTGCCTTGCAGCCGGCTGGCCATGGACTGAGCCCATGAAAACTGTGAGCCAAGTACCCTCTTCCTTCAGTTGTATGTGTCCCGGTGCTGGGAAAGTGACTAGTACTGCGTCATTCATTTTCTGGGACCACAATCGACAGGAAGAGAAGACACTTAAGCTCAGTGCACATTCACCGTTGGGCTGTTGGGCTGGGTGGAGCCTTAGGACTTTTCTGAGGTAGAAGCTGTGTGGTTTGTGCCTGCAGCTTTTCCCCATAGGACGCTGCTGGCTGGAGGGACAGGTGCTTGCTCTGCCTCCAATCCCTAGGGCCCCCTGACAAATGAATCTCCAAAGACAAAGAGCTCAGCTTCACTTTCAAGAACTACAGCTTGGAAATCAAAGGTGAAGTGACACCAGTGTCCAGGTCATGACCGAACCCCTTTCTTGTAATTAGGAGAAATATCCAAGTAGTTCAAACCCAAACTCTTTCATCTCAAAGCCCAGGGTAAAGAAATAATACAAAGTCGAAACCTCTTCCTTAGAGCGCACCTGACAGTATCTTCTACCTCTGTGCCAGGTAAGTGGCAGGTGGCAGTGTCAGCTTCTGCATCCGTCTTCAACCCTGTTCATTCTCGTTATTACAAATAACTGCACTCTCAATTGCCAACCAGAAGGTTATTTTCTCTAGCAGGTAGGTTCATTTTCTGTACATTCAATTTTCCCAAATAGCCTGAATTTTCTACTGTTTTCCGTGTATACCATCAAAGCTGGATTCCGTGCCTTGCAGAGTAATTTGAGGTCTGAGATGAGGATCAGGAAGGGGTGGCAGGC